TTTTCTGGTCACGTAAGATTTGTTAAATAAAAGGGAACTCTTTAGCTACAATGTATCAATGTTATGTTATAAAACAAATGGTAAACACCACAGCGTACACTATTGAGTTATGGATGCACGCGGGAGGTTGCTAAGCACGAAAGAAGCGTAAGAGTCGCTCGAGGCGATAGCCGAGAGCGACTCTAGCTTCTTGAGTGCTTAGCAAACCTCCCAAGTGCATCCATAACTCAATAGTGTACGCTGTGGTGTTTACCATTTGTTTTATAACATAACATTGATACATTGTAGCTAAAGAGTTCCCTTTTATTTAACAAATCTTACGTGACCAGAAAATACAAGCGCGCGCGGAAAAATAGTCTTTGCATTTGCTCACGTCAGCAGCGTACACCCATGGGCAAATGGGGAACGCTAAATTGACCAATCAGAGTGCGCGCTTAACTTTGGTTATTTTATAACACAAAATGTGGCCACGAATTCGCATTCTGTCAAGTATGAAAAGTTATGAATTCTAGAGCCGTTTTAAGGTGCGGTTTATCCACCCGTACGGGTAATCTCTTGACTTTTTTTTTCGCCGTATGCAATAATCGGCCGGTGCGGGTAATCGGCCGTGCGGGTAAACGGCCGGAAATTACGGCAAACTCTTTTTTCTCACAGTGCTTCTCTTCATCAGGGCCCAGTTGTATGAAGGGCAGATAGTGCTATCCGACGGCTAAATCAGTCGCTATCCAGCGGATAAGTGATAGTAATACGTACTGCGCTATCTACCGGATAAAGATCCACATAGCGTTATCTAACCTTCAAACAACAGGGACCAGGAGAAGAATTTGGTACTGTCAGGAAAGCTAGATGAAATGCTGCGAGTAGCCTTGCAATGAAGTGTTGGGGGGGGGGAGGTAGTAAGCCTTGCGATGAAGTGGTGGGGGGGGAGGGTAGTAATATCCCTATTCGCTCCGGTTGGATAGGCCACTTGGTTTGGGTTCAAACTTCACCTACCTACCTTTACTCTCGTACTTAAAGCTTACAGAATTAGGTACGTCAAATTCCCAGTATTAGTTGTTGCGTTATTAATCGTTGCGTTCTGGATTTGCTTCGCTTTGCCACTTGGTTAAGCACAGTTAAGGATAATTGATAGGAAACACCACTTTGCACGTTCTATTATTGGTTATCATTTTCTCTAGATTTCTGGTATAAGGGAACTACTGGCCAGTCAGATATCTAACAATAAAGATGTGAATGAGACATTGTCCGCCATGTTAAACAAGCAGTTAGAGGAAGCGAAATCAGGAACGGAAGATGCTTTTGTAGCCGCCATGTTCAGAGCATCTGCGTTTCTTGTGACTTCAAATGGTACTGCAGTCATAATCTCTCTTTCTTAGTTGAAGTAGTTGTGTATATTTGTAGTTTGAGCAATTTTTAATTGAGTGTCGAAAGTAATCCGGGACTGCATTGGGTTTGTCCTCTAAACCAATCAGATGCCACTTGATCGCCTGCGTTTTCCCGCGCTTTTGGCGGTTTGCTTGTTTTCACTCTGAGTTCTCATTGGCTCTTCAAGGTATTTTCCTTTCTTCTGGTTGGCTGTTGTCATTACTTTGGTTTTGGCTTTACGACACTCAATCGAAAAACGCCCTAAACAGTTAGCTCGTAACTGAAGCAGAACTCGCAAGAACTCAGTAAAGTAATACCAAGCCCACGAAAACGAGTAATTTTATTTTATTTTATTTTATATCGCGCGAAGCTTATGAATCCTTCCGTGTGTGAGAGCGGTAAAGCTAATCTAAGGGAATTTCGGGGTAAGACCAGGCGAACTCTGGTGAAGGAAAGACTTGATGGCTAGAATGATTTTCGGTGCTAAATATGCGTCGGTTCGTGCGCGAGCGAGCGAGCGAACTGAGGGAGTCTAGAAAGAAAATCTTGTTTCCAGAAAAACGGTGGTGCGATTTACGGCTTGCAGTATACCGCACGAATCTTAGGAAACCTTCCTTGCGCGAGAGCGGTAAAGCTAAACTAAGGGAATTTCAGGGTAGGTCTAGGCCAAATTTGGTAAAGGAAAGATTCGATGGCTAGAATGATTTTCGGTGCTAAATATACGCCGGTTCGTGCGCGCGCGAGCGAGCGAACCGAGAGAGTATCTAGAAAGAAAATCTTGTGCCCCCGAAAACCTTAAAGTGTTTGTTGTTATAATATAATTGGTTCTTTTTTTATTCCCTCAGCTGTTAATCGTCAACTGCTTCATAATCTATGTTGGTGTCCAGCTGATCTGTTCACTGAGCTCTCCTTGTCAACGGCTGTGTCGTGTTGGGAGTGGATCATGGGGGCAAGACAAGATCTGGAACTTCCTGTAAGATTTTGTTACTTTTGTTTTTTGGTAGATTTAAATACTCAATTACCACATGTATGAACCAAACATTAGAATGACTGATATTTCCTAGAAGGTTGTAACATTTCCCATAACGAAAACTTTCATGCATTTCCAGATGTTAAGTAAAATCAGCGCCGCATGGCAATGGACGGTTTGTCGACGGATCGGTTTATTTGCAGCAGACCAGCTGACTGAGAGTCCATTAGCAGCGTTTTCTGACAACAGATCCCCACCCTCCCCCCCTAATGTGGCTCCACACGACATTTGGATCAATTTCTTTGTTCGTCGGTTTGAAGTGATCAAGTATTACAGTCGTGACCAGGTGAGGGACCCAAACGTTTTGTAAAACAGCTCCAGCACAGTTACATTGTTTATATTCTTTTAAACTTTGCTTTTTTCTGGTCTTATTGGAGCTTAGGAGTATTTGTGTCTCATTCTGTACTGGGAAAAAGTCCGCCATATTATTTTGCAGAAATAATTTCATCGATAAACTCGAGAAACAAGAAAAACACGATCGCTCAGCGAAGTTACATATGAGGAAAGGATAATTTACCTAACTGGCTGGCTGGCGCCTGCCTTATTGGGAGGCTGCCATTTTTAGCACGAGCCGATTATTTCGCTTTCAACATTCTCTCATTCTTCCATTTAATCTTTTAACTTCCTTGAGTGACCAAAACATAATTTCTCCTCACAATATCAATAAAATATCAAGCAGAAAAGTGACGAAAATAAAGAAAAATATCGATTAGGGAATTATTAATTGATCCAAAACCAATTGCTCCGAAGTAACGTCATAACAGTTGTATAGCAGACAACAAGGAAATTTACCTGTGAGATCTTGGGAGTGAAAGCGTTAAGACAAACTTTTACTTAAGAATGTGCTTTTTCTTTCAATTGTACCGGCTGTAGGTGGAGATATTTGCTACTATGCTACAGCGTTGCCTTCCTCTGTCTGTTCAAAGGAAGAACTTTGTGTCCCGGCACATTGTCGCCCTTAGAGCTAGGTTCAGGTTACTTCACCTGGGACTGTCCATTCTACAGGGAGACTTCTTGTCAAACTCGATTATGAAGAATGTTATTAGGGAGAGGATCTACAGCAATGCCTTGGATTATTTCAGGTACAGTTGGTACTAGCGGAGGGTTTGGCAGTTTTGTAAGATTCGACTAACCACAAAGTCGGTGAAACTTAATGGTTACCAAGCTAGAACTAAGTCGTCATATTTTGTGTCAATGTTTTAGCTCGCGATATGATATACTTTGAATCAGGGACATACAAAAAAATATCTTCGCAGTTAAGTCGCACTTAAAGTAAATTGCAGAAAGAATCCAGGCTCCGATGAGATTCAAACCCAGATACCCTTCGGCCGCCACTACAATCTGAGCTACGAAACCACATGATGGGAGCTAGGCTTCCTTTCTGCAATGTAGACAATTTTAGCTTACCGGCGAATATCGTGTATTTTAGGAATCTCTTCCTCGGATTAAATTATCATTTCTTTCATTTAATTGTGTCGCTCAAGCCATTGAAATTTTGAGCTCGAGAACTCTACGATCTCTCAATTTTTGTGAAACTCGGAAAAACATCAACGCAGGACATAGTTCGAGAATGTGTTTGTATTGAAAAAACAACCCAATCAGACGAGAGAAATCTTCGCTGTTTATGAATTAGTCCGTGCTTTTAGTGTTTGCTTGTGGAGGCGCGGTGGCCTCATGGTGGCTCGACTCCGAGTCGAGTGGTCTGGGTTCGAGCCCCGGCCGGGACATTGTGTTGTGTTCTTAGGCAAGACACTTTACTCTCACAGTGCCTCTCTTCACCCAGGTGTATAAATGGGTACCGGCAATTTAATGCTGGGGGTAACCCTGCGATGGACTGGCATCCCATCCAGTGGGGAGTAGAAATACTCCTAGTCGCTTCATGCTACAGAAACCGGAGTTAAGCACCGGCCTAATGGGCCACTAGGCTCGTAAACAGACTTTACTTACTACTACTTTAGTGTTTGCTTACATCTCGTGATGTCTCCTTTGAATTGTAAAGTGGACTATATACTGGTGTTGGTGTTCATAGTGTCTTGAGTTTGACAGTAACACAGATGTTTGCTAACGAATTTGAAAAAAATATAGAAAGCTTCTACGTTTATTCACTTGCCCCAAGCTCTTATCCTTTTCTCTGTTATCACTGTGTACAGCGTTGACCCAATGTGGCCAGTTAGCAAGGATGTAGAGCTGCGGGAAGACATTCAGGTGTTGATAAAATTCTGGCAGGCCATGCTTTCCGACAAAAAATACATGAAGTACTTTATGGTGGCAGCGCCTGTAGACACTAGCCAGCTTTTGACGCATGGCTCCTCAACGGGATCTCAATACACAAGTGGATCATCCGGCTTAGGGCCCTTTCTGCAGGTATGTGTAACGATCCTCAAGGGGGTCCCGGTCCATTCGTGGCCTATCTGGTTTAGGGCCTTGTCTGCAGGTACGTTTAACGATCCCCAAGTGGTGTTCCAGTACACTTGTGGCCCATCTGGGTTAGAGGCTTATCTGTAGGTACGTTTAACTATCGCCAGGGAGGTCTCGTTACACTAGTGGCCTATCTGACTCAGATACTTATATGCTGGTAAGTTTAATGATCCTTAGGAGACCTAAAGCGCAAGTGGGTCATTTTACCGAGGGTCTTATATGCAAGTAATTCTAATGATACTAGGAAGCGACCCATCATCAGACTTGATCTTTATGTTTACTTGAAAGACTATTTTCTTTCGCATGTATTTTATTTTATTTTTCCAGTTTGTTTGTTTGTGTTTTTTTTTTTTGGTCTGATTTTGGTTATTTTCATATTGGATGTATGAGACATGGTTATACAGTGCTGAACTCTTACAAAATTACAGTTATATCAAACGGCACGAAGCAAAAGACTTTCACTCTCTGACTCTCTATTCCCATTTTCTTTGCCTTGTGAAATTGTGAAGAGTTTGGTACAACTCTAGGTCGAGGTCCACGCAAGTAACTTGCGTGAACAATTCCTCGCGCGGTCCACGCGCACTACTCCCGTTTCAAAGCGTTTCTCTCTCAGAAACATACAACTAACCAGCTAATCGTTTCGTTCTGAATCTTTGTTGCCGCCGTAAGCTGTTAAGTAACGCTTCATCAGCTGATTGCTAATCGCTAAACAACGTTGCAACAGGTTCAAGGATCAAGACGAGGCTCTTATGCGCTTTTTATGGAAGAGATGGTAATGCATTATTTGCTTGGAGCACTGGCATCTCCAAGAAGGGTGCTCCGTCGGACGCACATCTATGCTTTTCTTTTTTCTTTCTTTTTTCTTTTTTTTGTGATTTTGATTTAATTTGTTTTGTTTTGTTTTATTTTGTTGTTTTTGACAATTTGTGTTGGCTTTTTGTTTGTGTCTTTTTACGTTTTGCAACGCGGAAGCGGCCTGCCCCAGGCGTAAAACGGAGAAAAAAAACCGAAAAAGGGAAAAACGGAGCGCGACGGTGCGATATTCGCTGGGGAGCGAAAAAAAAAAAAGAGCTTCTCTTTATTTTTCGGTTCGCTACAGCTATCGTGCTGTTTACGATCGCGCTCCTTTTAACTTATAGAAAGCCTGTAACAGGCTAAAGCAGACAATGGTTTTGAGGTTATGTTCTACAACTTAGATCCAACTTAAGTTAGAAAATTGTCACACCGTTGTCTTGCTCTGTCAATGCCTTCCCGAAGTCATATTTTGAATTGAACGTTAAGCTTTCCCCAAGATAAACCCTCAAGCGTTACTGGTTAAATGCACAAGAAATAAGAATTAAACTTTAGGAGCAAAGAGTAAGACCAGAGTTAGGATGCAAACGTTTGCAGTTTTTTTTTTTTTAACATGGTTCGTTGCTATGTGTTTCCAGGGTAATCGATGGATGAACACAATACCGCTGTCCAGCAGTCTTTCGTCTCGGCGCTCAGCCACAGGAGGTTCTACCGGGAAAGAGGCTACAGGCGGACAACATGTCTTGAAAGATTATTTAAAGCGACGAAATCTGATTCTAGCACTGATTCGTCGAGAGATTGAACGGCTGTCGACTTGGCATAACCCTATTGCTCGTCCAGAGCTGAACTTTACCGGGATAGAATCACTGGTGAACTGGGCAAATCAGACAGTTTTTACGGAGAGGATCTGGAGAGACCTTGTGAGGCTGGCGTGGCACATCTCACCAGACATTGCCGTGTTTCTACCAGCAAGGTACATTTTGAAGTCTTTTTTTCGCAAGTGATAAGTTCGTTGGATTTTTGCAAGAACAACCTTGCATAATGTAATAAACATTACCATAATAACACGAAAGTTCTGTACAGTGGCTTTCAGTTAAAAGATCTTCTCTAATAGCACCATTTCAGCGGCGACAAGGCTCACACGCGCACGCTTTGATGATGGAGTCATGTTCAACGGTGAAACTTGAAATTCCGAATGAGTGTTGTGTAGCATACATTCAAATGTCGCTCACCAAACTCGCTACATGATTCGTTTGACATTTCAACGTCATACACTCCAAATTTGTATAGAATCGAAAGTAACACAATACTCTTCCGAGACTAGCGGAAATGATGGGTGGAATTCCACTCATAAGCGCAGGGGCTGCTGGGATAGGGGATAGGATGGCACAGAGATAGGATCCCAGCAGTCCCTGCGCTGCGCCAAGGTTTGAATCACAAACTAAAAAGTTAGAATTACCTGGAGAGAATAATAAACAGTATCACTGCTCCACAGCTTTTGTCTAAATGTCAAACTCAAAGATTTCATCCAAAGAGATGGAGGGTTGAATGATTGACGCTAGGGTTTCAAAGTGGTCCAAGTCACATCTTTCTCTCTGTTTCTAAGGTTCAAAGAAGTTTCTGCAGTACACAAAGAAGTCAGTCGCTTGGTTCGAATACATCCCACAGCAGTAGCTGAACTACCTGAAGCTTTACAGGTGAGACGAAGCTCACAACAGGATAACAAGGTTTCTGGCCTGTGAAAAGCCTCGGATCAAATTTATATCAAAACTGTGCATGATGCCGTTGGTGAGGTCAATTGTTTTATTCTGTCGCGATAGAGAGTTGGGTACCTTTTTTTTTTCGATTTTTACACGTTTAGGGGTCAACTTGAATGTTGAAATATCGTTTTACATTATCCTTGTTAGTGAAATCTCAATTTTGGGACAAACCGTCCATAGCTTGTCCTTATGCTAGTTTCTACCAGTTGTTATTACAATTTACTTTAGGGCATTAAATCTGATTCATATCCTTGAGTCTGGGAAGTGAAAGCAATGGTTGAAAACAAGTACAAGAACAGTTTCGAGTTTGTGATCGTACGTGTGTTTAAAGACTGTTTAACCTGCCTTAAAGGTTCCCCTGTCTTTCTTGGTTTTAGTATCTTATCACTGAGAAGAATATCAAGGCCGATATTCCTGAGCTCACGCACATTCTGTGTTGGTCAGCCATCCCCCCTGTGCAGGCCATGGCTTACTTCTCACAACAGTACCCACTCCACCCCCTGACAGCACAGTATGCCTTCCGTGTGTTACAGTCTTTCCCGCCGGATGCCATATTGTTGTACATTCCTCAGCTGGTGCAAGCCACTCGCTATGACGCACTGGGATTTGTTAGTGAATACATCATGTGGGCCGCGAAACATTCGCAACTTCTCGCTCATCAGGTAAAGCAAAATATGTGGTTATTTGTGTTGTAGACACTAGTACGAAGGAGGCCATTGCGCTCAACTCCAGATCGAGGAGTCCGGGTTCTCACCCGCCACAAAAGAGTTTAAATAGGTTCTGGAAAACTCGTCGGCGAAATCTAATGAAATGGCAAGGGTAGCCTGTGATGGAGTAGCATTCCAGCCAGCAAAAGGCACTTCTTCTAGTTTCTAGTTGACCTGTTCTGAGCTTTGCAGTTTGTTTTTTTGTTGCATATGGATGTTTCTCAAATGTCTCAAATGATACGTTTGACAGCAAATTGAAGCAAACTTCCTACAAGCTTGGACAAGAATGAACGATTTCACTATCGTCTTACGTAATTTAGAGCTTACTTTAGATCTTTGTCTTTCAATATTTTTTATCAGCTGATTTGGAATATGAAAACCAACGTCTTTGCTGATGAAGAGGCCCTTCACAAAGATTCAGAAATTGGCGCTCATCTAGAAAACTTAATTGAAAGGATCACAAAGTCGCTCTCAGGAACAGCGCTTGATTTCTACAAGCGAGAATTTGACTTCTTCGACAAGGTTACTGCTATATCTGGAACTATAAGGTAATACGATAATCTTCCAAGGGAATTACAAGCCTGTGAATACCATTAACCCTTTAACTCCCATGAGTGATCAAGACAGAATATCTCCTTACAATATGAATACAATGTCAAGCAGATAAGTGATGAGAATAAAGAAAGAAATCATTTGGGAGATTATTAGTTGATCCAATAACAAATTCTCTGAATTAACCTTGTCAGAATTGTATGGTAGACTGCAAGGAGAATTAATTATGCGACCTTGAAATGAAAAGGATCAAAGAAGCACGAAAAGAATCGAAAGAGTTAATTTTGTAGCCTGCAAGCAGGCATTGAATATTAGCCTCGCAGGACGCATGTCTTACCGCCCGAGAGAGGATTGGAGACGAGTCGGGAGAGGTTTTCGGGGGGTCTGGCACTAATATTGAGACACCTGACAGACCTCTTGCCATCTTGCGTTGCTCAAAGCCTTTTAATTTTACCGAATGCAAAGAAACGTTCGTACTAGCGCGCTAAAAATATGGAATTTCTCGCACGCTATCGATCGAATTACCTGATTTTGGTACGATGCCCTTGCTAACTGGGTCGTTGGCGTGGGGAGCTGGTGAACTATAGGGTTGTGTGTCGCTTGGAGAGAGAGAAAATTAAGATTTATGTTTACGAAACTGATTTAATGTTTTGAACTGCAGTAAAATGGAAACAAAAATCTACTTTCGAGATCGAGGATGGCTTTTAGAGAAAATGTTATCAATAGATTCAAACGCTTCAAGTGTCTGAATATATTGATAAAATTTTTATTTTTCATTTTGTGGCCAGGCTTTGAAAATCTTAGAAGTTCTGAGATTTTAAAAACCAGGCCACAAAATGGTTTCTGGTCCGTCTCTCCGACTGCAGTTCTTACGATACTAGCTTAACACCGTAATTTTAAGTGGACATTTTTTTTTTTCACTTGTAAGAAATGTATGAATCCCACTCTCGCTTCTTTCCAATGTACACCGCAGACCGTACCCCAAAGGTCCAGAACGGAAACAAGCTTGTCTCGAAGCGCTTAGTAAGATCCAGGCCCAAGAAGGCGTGTATTTGCCAAGCAACCCAGAGGCCCTGGTGCTAGATATCGATCACAAGTCAGGAACACCAATGCAGAGTGCAGCCAAGGCCCCATTCCTTGCGAGGTTTAAGGTCAAACACTGTGGAATTCAAGAATTAGAGACCATGAACTCGTCCAAAGGTAACAACAAGAACCGGAATGTTCACAAATACTGTCATAAGTTTGTAGCAGCTTTCTTTAATTTAAGAAGAAAGGGATTTAACGATAGTTCGACCATTATTTCACCAAAATGAGCAAACATGGATAACTTTAGTAAATCTTATAACAATGCAATGCGGCATTATGATTTGAAAATTTACGAAAACGCTGTTATCTTACCTTTTTTTGAAAACTTCGTAGATTTTTCGTCCTCGGATAGTGAAGACGAGGCAGAAAAAAAGATCTACTGGCAGGCTGCTATATTTAAAGTTGGTGATGACGTCAGACAGGTAAGATACGCTTTGCAGATTGTCTTTCAGCAATCGTACTTTTCGGTTTGTGGTTTGCTAGCTATTCCCGTATCAATTAGCATCATTTGCCGAGTTTCTTTTTTTTTTTTTTTTCTTTTTCAAATTTTTTTTTCTCAGGACATGCTGGCACTACAGGTAATATCGCTTTTTAAAAACATCTTTGAGCAAGTTGGATTAGATGTATATCTGAAGCCATACAGAGTCGTGGCAACTGCCCCAGGGGTAAGGAATTCTTGAACTGATAGATCTTTTACCTTGGAAAACTCTCTCCCATAAACCGAATCCCCAACCACTGTTACCTTCATTGCTTCAAACAACATGTTTTTTGGTCTCCTACCATACGATCAAATTATAAGAATTTAATTTAAACGTTTGTTGATAATAGTTTTGATCATTTTCCGTTTCAGAATGGTGTTATTGAATGTGTGCCAGACTCCAAGTCACGCGACCAACTTGGCCGTCAAACCGAGGTGGACTTGTACGAGTACTATCAGAAGACTTATGGTGATGAAAGCACGTCAGCTTTTCAGCAGGTCTGAATATTTTATTTTTTATTATTGTTATTTTTTTCGTCATTTGGCAGCCATTTTATTGTCTCCATCCTTAGCCCCACTACTTCTCGGTTAATACGACTCTATGTTACTTAAGAATATCTATTTCTATAAAGATTGTTAGGCTACTGCATTTCACTGGCACATTAGAATATGTGTTATTTAAAAATTCGGCAAATACTATTATTCTGATTATGAAACAAATTTTATATTTTAGTACTTTCAGTACTAGTTTTTCAATATATTGAGTGATGTTGTCGTCCTATGGATATGATGTAGCTATCAGAAAGATTTTGTCACGGCCAGTGTTTGAATATTCGCGACAATCTTCAAAGTATTGGAGGCATGCTGTAAAGTTTAGCCGCTCTCATCAAATCTTCTTGGCGCCCCTATAGTGGTCGGGAATTCTTGCTGTTATTTCATTTATGAATTCAAGGGTTTAAGAGATGCGCTTGATTTGTAGGCTTCGTTAAAAGTTTTAATTACGTTCACTCTCAACTCGAAGTTTCTATTTGTTGACTTATCTACATGAAGGTCTTTTACTTGTTGGACATCTGTACATTTCTTGTTTTAAACTTTATTTTTTTCCTTTTAGGCCCGAGCCAATTTTATCAAGAGCATGGCTGCATACTCCATCGTGAGTTTCCTGTTACAGATAAAGGACAGACATAACGGTAACCTAATGCTGAACAGGGCTGGTCATATTATTCATATAGGTAAGCTAGAGAAGTCTGCCTTCTTCTCAGAATAAACTCTAATATTTGTTTGTGACACGAAATGTAAAGCATATTGGCATCTCGCAAAAGATGTTGTGCCTTTTTCAAGTTTGTCGTTTGAATTCTGGGGTAAGCTACAGAGGCCTGCCTTGTTCTCAGACTACTCTCAAATTTTTGTTTGTGACACGGAATGTAAAGCAGATTGGCATTTTGCGAAAGATGTTGAACCTTTTTCAAGTTTGTCGTTTGAATTCTGGGGTAATTCTTCTCATCCCCTACCTTCTCCGTTCTTTTTGGGCTTCTCCCGTTTATTTTGATAGCTTTATCTCAATTATTCTGTCCTTTGTAACCCAAACAGATTTTGGTTTCATGTTTGAATCGTCCCCCGGAGGCAACCTTGGTTTTGAGCCTGATATGAAACTGTCGCATGAAATGGTGATGATAATGGGAGGAACAATGGAGTCGCCTTCATTTAGGTAAGGTAACTGGCTCGGGCTCTGAGCGACTGTGAGAACTTTAGATAGCCAAGCTCAAACGTTACCTCTAATACTACCCTAATGTTGCTACAACTGGTTTCAGGTGGTTCATGGATTTGTGTGTGAAAGCCTACCTTTCAGTCAGGTGAGTCTAACTTACACAGAAAAATGATTCACACTCATTTTGTCTTCATTTCTGGTGTTATATAGTTGTTGTTGATTTGATCCAAGTGTTGACTATCCTTTCTCCCCTCCCCCATCAGGCCTTACCAAGAAGCAATCGTTTCCCTTGTTGCACTGATGTTGGATACTGGTCTGCCATGTTTCCGGGGGGAAACACTTAAGAGACTCAGGTGACAAATGATGAACGTGAAGGCTCTTTATTTCACCGTATTTTTTGATCATTAGGAGATATTTATTCGTTAGATAAATAGCTTTTGGAATTATGCTCATAAAGTAGGTATTTGAGTGTCTGTAGTCCTGTGTCCTATGTTTGTGTATTATAAATTTATGTTGGACTCAACTGATGTTTTCATTTATTATTTGTTTTGTGGTTTATATCAGAGCAAGATTCAGCCCAGCACAGAGCGAGAGAGAAGCAGCCGCATACATGGTGAAAGTTATCCGTGACTCTTATCTGAATTACAGGTGAGATAAGTAGGGAACTGAGATCTCGCCTTAGTCGCTAGGCCCTTTATCAAACTATCAAAATGCATCTCTCCACCCAAGAGCGGAAAGGGTTTAGGCAAAATGTTAGATAAACCTGATAACTGCTGGAAAGTTACCAATCATAGACTGGCATCCCATCTATGAGAAGGGAAGGGGGGAAGGGTGGGTGGTTATTTTTATAGTCACTTCAGAAACTGGGAAAGGCTCCGGCTGAATGGGCTCTCGAGCTCGTAGGCTGACTTAAATTTTTTTTATCCTTTTTTTTTACATTAGCCTTCTCCATTTGATGTCGTTTCGTACTCCCACTCGTAAGAAAACCTTTAAAAAGCAACTATATCAGATCATGTTATTTCTCCCAAAGTTTTTGTTACATTGGCCCCTAATTTTCTGTGCTCACGGTTTGGACCAACTACTCTTAAACTTCAAGGACTATTTAAACAGTAGAGTGCTTCTGTCTCGGAACTATCGGCTGATAGTTGCCCCGCAGAAATTTTATGTTCTTAAAACAAATTACTATCAGACCGATAGTTCCGAGACATAAACACTCTATTGTCTTTATTGTTCACCACTAACTTTTCTTCCGCGCGCCAGTTGAAAAACAGTCAAAACCCACTAAATGCAGATCAATCAAATATTTATTCATGCGTACGGCCTTTCACAAATGTCAATAATTCGCAACCGTACATTGGCTAAATAATACGTTATACCTGTCAGAATTGAGAAGTCACTGTTTTTCCGATCTACCTAACACGGATGTATACTATCTATCCGGGTATTGACCGCGGATGGGCACTATGGGCTGTTAGTGTTTCTCTCCACGGATGAACACTGTCGTGTCACGTGATCAACTTAAACCAATAAGAATCGGAGAAAATTTAGTGGTGAACTATAATGCCATGTATTAAAATACCGATCTCTTATCGGTTTTCACTTTTTGAAAGCGTCTGAACTTTTGATCTATTTTTCCTTCGCAGGACCCGAGTTTACGATTTGATTCAGTTGGCTCAAAATCAGATTCCATGCTAGACTCCTTACTAGCGACAAGATTATTTATTTGGATTTAAAGCTAACTAGGACAAGTCTGGTCTCGTTTCCAGTCTTTGCTTGATTTTGTTCTTTGTTTCGGACGAGAATGGTCTCCAGTTTCCAGTTCCCACGCGAATTTAGAATTCGAACATCATGTAAATAGCCAGTAAGTGTCTAGCACAATAAGACAAACAACTTACTAAGACACAGTAAATAACAGCGTATGCCATAATCCTTGTGTCTTTCGAATGGAAGTGACAAGAATAGAGGTTCTCTTTACAAAGTCAAGAACAGCAGTTTAGTGAGCTAGAGAGTGTTTTCTCGATTAAGCACTGAATTCTCCCAATAACTTGACAAATAATTTGTTGGAGGAAGAAAAGGGAATTACCACCCTGATCTTGGATTAGTAGCCAATAAGCTTCTTTCCTAGTAGTGGCTGAAAGATCGAATTTTGTACAAAATTTAACTTATGATGCAAATTATGAAAAACACTGTAATGTAGTTTAAAAGAAATAATCAAAATTCAAGAGCCTTAATTGTGTTTTTTGTTGTTTTTGGGAAAATGTCACTATACTAGAAAAGTGTTGCGATAAACTCCTAAACCAATATCAAGGCTAACTTACAGAACGCCATAACTTTTTTCAAAACAAAACTTCAGGTAAGAGCGAGAAAAAGTTAATGACTTGTAAAAGGTGTCACAACTTTTGTCTTGACCAAACAATGGCATTTAAGCCAAAACATATGTTTTCCTTCATGTTTATTGATTCTTTTTTTTTTTTTTCTTAAATAGTGCTAGCTTGCCGGGAAAGTTTACAAATACAATCGCGCATTTCGCACAAGATACTCCTTAACAAATTTTATTCTACCGCGCAACAATATTTGAGTCAGAAATTCGCATCCAAATATACGAAAAATTAAAGCAAATTTATACTTTAAAGTTATTCGTTTTAAAAACATTAACATAAGAAAACGCACTTATCGTATGCAAGAAAATTTTAAAATTTGAAATTTGTTGCGGATATCCAAGCAAAATTTGGAAATAAACAATACAATGCTGAAGCATGCTTTACAATAAAAATAGAGTTCCAAACAATAGTTTTACGGTGAAAATTTCCACATTGCAATATTTAATCTCATTGAAAAATGTTACTTCATCTCCTTAGAAATTCGATTAATAATTACGAAAAATGCTATTTAAAAAATCTCTGACAAATAAAGATAATGATGAAAATGTGAATTGATGCTTACTTTCGATTGAAAGAAACCGAGCAATTTGCGCATAAATTGTCATCGTAACTTGTCTCTTGACCACAACCTTTGCATACACCGGAAGTGTAAGTGCTGATTGGGTTGGTGTTGCTATTCGCACTTTCTTCCGCTTCCAGTGCGCCTTCAACCGGGTTGAATTGTTGATTCCGGACGTCGACCGGAAACTGTGGAAACGGAAGTCTGACGCCGTTGGCGGAAGGGAACATATATGACGTAAGAGGTATCAAAGATGGCGGCATTAGATAACGATATTGTCCATTTACGTAGTTAAATTTGAACAGCGGTGGAACGGAACCTGATGACGGATGGGTAACGCGAGGGGCCTGGGAAGAAAGTGGTGGTGGAGCTTGCGGGTTGACTTGGTTTGGAGGTTGAGGCTCTGGTATATTCGACTGACCAAGAAAACCTTTTGTCTGTGGTTTGGTCGCGTTGTACTGCACGATTACTTCGATGGCTTGAAGAACGTTGCCATTACAGCCTTTCAACACGTGCTCAAGTACCGTGGATGATAGACCGGGAAACGCCTTTGTTAGGATATCCGTTGGGGATGGAATAACCGTAGGAAGTGTCAAGGTGGACTCCACATGAGGTCTCTTAGAGGCTGAGGCCATACCACTGCCGTAATCACTGTCAGAACTTTCTGGGCTGTTGCTACTACTGGCATCTCGTCCGCCGCTGTGTTTACGTTTTAACAATCCTAAATGATGTAGGAAACCACAGAGAGTTAAATTTCTCCAGAACAACTTAGAAATCTGAGCCGGCAAGGGTGAACAAAGAACAATCAAACTTGTCGAGCTCACGCGAATTTCTGAGTGTCACGCACAGAAACCTAAACTCAGAGCACGTTTTCTTTTCACATTATGGTTGGTGCTGCTTGGTGAAATTCAAATTTATGGAGAGTACTTCAACCTCATCAGCATAGTACATGCACACGCTAAAAATTAAATATCAATACTAAAGAATTTATCTTATAAAGCGACTAAATTATTAAAAATTTGTACAAAACGTTGCCTTGAAACCACGTCTAAATCTTTTGACTGAACAGGGCAAGAAAAGTCATTCAATTTCAGGGAAGATCCCAGCTGTGCATGACACAATGGAACGGTGAACCCCGTTTTCGTCAAACTTTTAAATTACGAAAAAAACCCTTCACTTTTGCTGATGGATTATTCCAAGTTTTGAATGCGACAATTTTAGATTAGCTCAGAAAATCGGCGTGATGGTTTCCGAGAAAATAAAGCTGAAGATTTCATGATTTCTAATCTTTGAAAGTTTGAATCAAACACGCGGCCGTGCTTTATTTTATGCCCCCACAAATAAATTGAAAGCGTGTAAACCTTTCATTAGCGAATTATTGCTTCAATGATTCAAACGTAACCAAGAATAAAATCTGACTTCTGGTATATATGACCTATACGTATTCAAGACGCACGATCTCACAAACCAATGTCTTACAAACCGAGTTGATAATGTAAAAGCTGACGTTTCGAACGTTAGCCCTTCGTAGGAACAAATCGAACACTGCCAGCTAAAAGACCTTCCTGCTCTATTTGATTTGTTTCTTAGTTCGTTCGGAAGCATTTTCCATTGCTTAAGACCAATTTTTTTACAGCAATGCAAAAAAGACCGCCATTGTCTGGCTGAGATTTTTCAAAATTTGTAAACCTTGAAGCGGCGGCAATCTTTCGTTTCCTTATTAATTCAAACGACAATTACTACCAACGTATCTATCTATGAACGTACAAGCAGGACCAGAATGATCGAGAGCTTCAACTTGCTTATCCAACAAAAGCCATAAAGAACTTTTAGGTAAAATTTCGATAAACCGTGAAAAATTTCGAAACATCTTGAGAATTGCGAGAGAAAATTTTCTTTAATTAAACAACAAAAATGGAACGACCACAGCTTTTGTTTCTGTTTAAAGAATAATCATTGTAAAAGAAGGCGAATCATAGTTTTTTTTTTTTTTTTTTTTTTTTT